ATATAACCTCAATACAATCCCAATACAACCCCAATGTAACCCCAATATAACCCTTCAATCCACCCCAGAAACTCTCCGCGCAGGTCCGTGGCCTGCAGGAACGACTCGATGGCCATGCAGAGAAGTTGCGCCTTCTGCACCAGGACTGGTCCAGCTCACCTGAGGTTATATAAGGGCTATATTTGGGGGTTATTTAGGGGTTATATAGGGATAATGGAAAAGAAAATGGAAACTACTATTTAGGGTTTAAGGTTTAAGGTTTAGAGTCTAAACTCCTTAAAGGGGGCTATATAGGGGATTATATAGCAGTTCTTAAGGGGGAGTCTAGGAGTTTAGACTGTAGCTTGCCTGTAGGCTTTGGGTGTTTTTTCAACTCGGAGTACCTCTAGATTCCTTGAATAGGCATGAGTACCCTCAGGTCCCTTTGAAAGGGATTGTGGGCTAGGACCTTAATTAAGCCCGTGAGTGATGATAGATACCTCAAGGTTGACTTGTAGGAAGGGGTGCTGCAAAAACCCAGTCTGCTGACAAAGCGGGAGCCTTTAAGATGTTGCAGGAAGAGATGTCCTGCTGGTTGATAGTAAAAAAACCCAGGGAAGGAAAAGAACATGGACACTGTTATACTGTTGGGGTTATATAGGGGCTGCTATACAGTTTCATGCCTCAATTGCCTGGGAACAGCCAGCAATGTGATTGGGTGCTGGAAGATTGCATGGAGGCCGGGCGTTGGTAGTCTTGGAACTGCCAGCCCCTGAACCGCAACCTCCCGGGTTTAGGGTTCAGGATGTAATGTGTCATTCTGCGACCACATAAACTCAAAGCACCGCAGCGCCATGGTTTGAGCCCTGTATTCTAAACTGATTTCAAGATGCTCTCATGGTAGGTAACCTTGAACTGCATGGCCAAGCTGGGCGAAAAGCGCAGATGTCAATGAGGGGGGTTCGGCAACCCGAAACCCCAACTCGGGATCTAGAGCCATCAGTATACAATAGGGTCCTATAAATGGAGGGGCTACGGTTACTAAAGACTTGTTTTGACGTGATGTAGAGGCCTGGGTTCTGGATAACTGGGAATGTTGTTGCCTGTTGACAAGCCTGAACATAGTATAATTGTATATCATACTGCAAAACTTTATTCTCGTTATCTAGGCCCTCACAGCTTAAGCTGCCATCCTCCCCTACAGAAGGTTTCCAGAAAGTGTATCATACAAGGGTTTAGGGTTTATTGGGTCCACCTTACAGATCCTTCTATACCTTCTGCGGCATGGGTTCTCTCATATCATTGCAAGAAGGGCCAACTTTTCTTCTTAATTAGTGGAACAGGGACTCACATGGGTTTCTCAACAGAATCCCTACGGGCGACCCCCCAAAATTCTCTTACGTGTCTCTTGAGTTGACAGGGCGCCCTATTTGGTCTAGGGTTTTGGGGTGCAGGGTTTTTCACGGTTGAGTCTTCAGCGTCGCGTTTCCTGCGATGCTTTGAACCCGGCCTGAACAGGCCGAAAGCATGAGGAAGTCAATCCCCTTCTGAAAAGCTGCTGCACGGTACCCTGAAACCTTTTTTTTAGTATGTAGGGTTCCGGGGAAGGATAAGTTCTTGGAAATCATCCTGGTAGCGATGAGTCCTGCGAGGGACCTTTGTGATGTCCTCGCAATCGCAAAAAACACCATACAGCCCCTACAGGCCCCCCAATTGTGAGAAACTCCAAACCCCAAGCCCCAATCCCCAAACTGTAAACCCATCGTAGATCTCTCTCTCTCTCTCTCTCTCTATATATATATATAGTTGCGCAAATATCCTTATAACCCCTTTAAAGGATCATTTTCCCTGGCACTATTCCGTGCGGAGGATCGCAACAGGGCCTGGCGCGACGTGGAGAGGCTGCGACAGGAGGCTACCTCCTGCCAGAATCGGCTCCTTGAGATTCAGGGAATGACAGAATGGAGAAGAAAATGGAGACTACCGTTTGAGGGTGTATAGTGAATTCCCTCCTATAAGACTGTAGTCAAGCCGTCACATTTTCGAAATTATGTACAGGAGCCCACAAAATGAAAAGAAGAAGCAGCAGAAGCAGCAGAAGAAGAAGAAGAAAAACAAACAATGATCCAAATTAGGCATGAAGAAGAGGTATTGGACGAAGAACATGGAATCTCCTCTATTCTTGGTGATTTCGTAGGGCATCAGTATGGTATGGGAGTGTATAGGAGGTATCAGGGATTTGCCTTCGGGATCCAGACTGTAGATACTCCCAGAAGGCCTCTAGGGATACAAAACCTTCTTCTCAAGTTTGATGTTCTTGGTTGATTATTGCAGTCATAACCCCCCTCAGAGAAATTATAGCCCACTTAGTAGTACCCACGAAAATTCAAGCAGGCTCCACAAGGGCATGCTAGAGTTGGAGGCTCATGCCTTCATTTCGGAGCATGATCTGGATCTGAGTTGACCCTCAAGTCTTTACCCTATTCTATCCCTATAAAGTACTTTGCCCCAGGCCCCCCTCCCTTCCCAGTACGTGATATTCCCAAGCCCTTCGTAGCCCTGGGCATCTTCTGAATACTACCAATACTCTCCCTTAATGAATCCTTTATAATTCCTGTAGGAGCCAGACAGATGGAACATCGGTAGCCCCCAACCCGAGGAAGAAGCAAACTTGGCACAAGTTTAGGATTTAGGGTTTAG